ATCAACACGTACCGGGGCCTGCTGGAGAGCGAGGACTGCAAGTGAGTAAGAGGCAAAGAACTCTTGAAAACATGTGGTGGGACTACAAGACATTGTGAGCATACACATTTGGGCCACATTTTCAACTCACAAAACAACATGCATTTATAGAGAATTCACTATGTGACAGTTAAGCAGAAATTGAAGGTCGAAAATGAAGGGCATACATCCCCTGCCTCAGAGAGCTAACAATGGAGAAGTGGTGGTGGAGAGATTGTTACAACAATAACTGTTGGGTAAGGCAGATTGTGTTAGTTTCATGAGAGCTCAAGAGCATGAGAACATATTTTTCAAAAGGACAATTTTCCACCTCAGCACAAAGCCTTCTGGGGTGGGGAGAAGGATTTGATAACAATTAAATTTGATTCCAACTATTTGCGACCACTGAGAATTCATGGGTTGTTTCATTAGGTACCTTAGGGCTCTCTCCACAATCCCCAATACATTCTAAATCTCTGTCCTCCCAGGCTCCCCTGCAACCCATGTGCCACCACCAACGCTTGCGGCAATTCCTGTGGGTCCTGTGGCAACTGTCAAACGCGTTGCTCTTAATTTAAGAACTTGCATCCTCTTTGAAGACAACAATGAAGCCATTCAGATCAAGCACAGGAAAAGTCCTTAGGTCATGCTTTTGTTGGAGTTCAGCTGCCAGTTAGAAGCCTAGCCATGCCAAATGTGATATTTCCAGACGGGGAAATGCTTTCCAGATTCAACAAGCAAAGACACACATCATTAACTTCCAATGTCTGGAAAATCCCTTCCTATTGAAGTTTGAGTGTCTTTGTTTCTAAAGATGTCCAGCTCCCTGTGATCTGAGCTCCAGGTATTACTTTTAGGGCATTTCCTGCGTGTATTGTGTTTCCTGCTTTTCTTGCTTCTTTGGTATTCTCTGGAATGCAAGGAAGCTTCTTCATTTACTTCCCAATAAACTTTATTTCTCTGGCATAGTAAATGTGTTTTGCATTCATATTTATGTACTGTAAATAACCTGCTGTGGCTGTTTCATAAAAACACCCCTTTGTTAGAAAGAAATGCATTAAATGACTGACCCCAGCCAATATGTTCCACTGGTAAATACTGATGGGGAAGGATTCTGTCCTCCTGGGAGGCTCCCACCAAGGGGACACCGTGCAGAAAACCTGGCCTCCAGCACTTATGACCATCTTGCCTTGGCTGCAGGGTCCTTGGCAATACTGAGAGTCCTCCCCGAACATCACTGTTATCTCCCACTGTCACCCTCATCACTCAGGGTTGATTCTCTGCTCCCCTTTCTCCTAAACTGCCTAAAGACCAGTTTCTGTAGAAACTGCTGAAAGAGAAGCTACCCTCTCCTTTCAACTTGCCAGCTGTACTGGTATCGCTAATATAGATACCTGCCTTTCCCTCAAAATGTACCTTCAATGATTTCCATAAACCCTCACACTCTGGGTCCTCTTGTTATATATCCTACTACCTGTTCTCCAGCTCCTATTAGCCTGACTTTCCCCTTTCTGTTGCAACTGGAGGAAATGCCTAGATCCTCTGCTGTGTTTCTTTTTCTCTATCCCTGTTCAGGAAGAACTAGCACCTCTATGCTGACAACTCCCAAAGCTCTCATTTTAGCTCAAGTCCTAGGTCTTCAGTTGCCCATAGGACAGTGTGACTTGGTATTATGTTGCCACATCACATTTAATTGGACTCCAACTTATCTTTCCCAGACTGGTTCCTCTTGTTACCCACTTGTTATACTCAACATTTTGTAATCCAAAGACCCTTTAAATGCAGGCAAGCGCATCTCCCTACCTCCCTCTTTTCAAGTTCACTCTTTCCTCTAGGTCTTTATAAATAGGTCTATAATGTTCTTCTCTATCACTTTATTTCTTATAATTTCAAGAAAGACCAGTGTTCATTGTCTCCCCCAACAGACATTAATCTTACCCCCCACTTGACTCATACCTGAATTATTAAAGCTCTCAATTCTATCGGCCACCATCTCAACTCTTCATTTAATTTGACACTATCTAACCTACACAACTGCAATCAACCATCTCCTGTGTGTGTCACTACTGTGTGGAGCACTGAGAACACACAGATAAGTGAGCCCCAGTCCTAGCCCACAGCATGTTCATAGTTTAGAGTGGGCCAGACAAAGAGACAACCCAGCTACAGACAAACATCAACGTGGCTCCAGAAAGGTGTAAATGAAGAATGATGAATTTCTGAAGTATGAGAGAAAGACTATACTCTCAGGGATCATTTCTATAGTTTGAAGGGTGAAAGAGTGGTAAAAAGAGCCTCCAAGAGGAGGTTGAGCTCAATCAGGGCTTTGAAAACCCGAAAATTCCATTCATACAAATATTGTCTGCTTGTCTTTCAACAGAGACTCTATCTTCACCCAATTAAAGCCTAGTGTAAAACCATAGAATACTGTAATTGGAATAAAGGAACAGTAACACTAATAAGTATTCATGAGAAGGTTATTAAAACTTTAAGTACTTCCCTTCCAACTTCAATCAATGGTTACTATATGATATTAACATAATTCTGAAATAAAGTTTGATGGGGTATATTTGGACAGATGAGTGTGTGCCAGTCTGACAAGAGGGAAAGTTTTTATGAACATGAGCTATGCCTGGTAAAGAGATGAGTGTATCTAGAGCTCAACAGACCAATTTCTAGCTGGAGCAAAGCATAAATATGGTGGTGGAAGATGAAACTGCAAAGTAGTCATGGATGAACATATCCGGTGGTGTTTTTCATGGTTATCTGTGAGATATGCTTATAAGGAAATTTGGCATATGATCTATCTGGCAGCTACATATAAGCTGGGTTGTGATGAGTCCTAGAAGTTGATGGGGTTGGGTGGGAAAGAAGGAAGAACAATTGGGAGGCTGATGACAGACAGTAGGCTGAGTTGGGGGGAGAGTGGTGGGCTGAGGGAGGGGTGGATTTCAGAGGCACAGCCCAGGATATGGAAGCTGATTGGAGGTAGAGGAACAATGGAGAGAGAAGGAAGGAAACTAGTACTGATTAAATACCTACTTTGGGTCAACATGAGGGACATTTTTGAGCCTGAGAAAATGAAACACCAGTGGAGCTCCAGTGGAGAGAGCTGGAAGAGAATGACTGGATTTGGGAGAGATGTCGGAGAGTTACCTAAACAGAAATGATCAGTTAAGAGCTGTAGGAGTTGTTAAGACTGTCAAGGGGGATGATGTTAGACTAGGGATAACCTTGGGAACCACTGGGAGAAATGATGGAGTGGCCTCAGACTTTCCAAAGTCCCTGACATGAGGTTCCTCCTTGGTTTGGCCCAGTTCCCGAAGAGAGAGGTGACATCTAGTTATAAAGAGTTGGAGTGGGAAGCAGCTGAGGCAACATAGAAGTCCAAAGAAGTTGGAGTTTTGATGGGGGGGATGGTCAATGCATCCTTCTCATGAATCCTCATTAGTGTTACTGTTCCTTATTTATTCCACTTTCAGTATGCTATGGTATACTTGGCTTTAATTAGGTGAAGATACTGTCTCTCTTGAAGGGTCAGGAAGATTGAGGATTCAGACAAGTCAGGGGACATAGCAATAGGGAGATCATTGGTGACCATAGGGAGAGCAGGATCTATGGGATGCTGGGGGAAAAAGCCATACTTTAGTGGCTCTTTCACATCTGTTTCAAATCATCAACTTGATAGTAAACTTAATGCAAAAGTTCAACACAACATATTCTTACTGAACATGAAGCTTACTTTGCTTTATCCACTGTGTAGCTCTTTTTTTTTTTCCACTGTGTAACTCTTAAAATGTTTTGGCATCTGCTCTTCCCTTTGATCTGTAGAGCAGTCACATAAACAGGTTTTCATCCCTTCTCTGAGTGGTTCCCAAATCCAGCCTTCCCAGAAGACTAGGACTATTAAGTTATATTGTCTCGGACTGTTTCATGTTCTTCTTGACTCCTCTATTCTAGACTGGATAGAGTTAAAGACATACTGATGAACTTTGCATTTTTCTGATTCGGCTTGGTCCCTGAAGACCTCCAAACTCCATTCCCTTTGGGAGTTGAAGACTGAGTGTAAGAGAAACAATGGCAGCTCTAGAGAGGATGTGAGTAATAAGCACTGAATCTTATTTTGGGGTGCTGTACCTCTCTTTGCTCAGCCCATATTACCACTGACCTGGCTGATTCTCCATGTCCTCCCCTGCTTGTCCCTCATTGGAAATTTTGTTTGAGCATCTTCCCAAAGCCAAGCCTGTTGGTTTAATTCCTGGATCACCACCATAATTTCTCCCCTAAATGTGGTAAGGCTGGGTGATTGATAAATTTGCAACAGACACCCTTATGGAACAGTCTATGGATGCCATATATCTTGTTCTTATAAGCAGCTCTAACTGGGGCTGACCCAGCAGGGTGGGCTGGTGTTGGTATCAAACACTGTTTCTGCTTTTCTAATTCTCCAGTGGGTAACTCTTCATCTCTTTTAGGCAAACATCAGTATCTTGGTCTGTGTGTGTCCAGTGATAGCACTCCTGGTCTCTCCTTGCCTTCATCTACATTGAAATAGAGCAAATCTGTAAGTGGCCCAATATGTTACTTTGCATCTCCCAAAGCATGCAGTTTACATTTCTCATGATGAGCATTTTAAGTGCCAGTACCTGGCCATCAGAAAAGATGGTTTTGGGAAGGAATGGGGAGGCTTCCTAATACCTTTAAAGTTCTGCCAGGGGGAGGATGGTCTCAGCAGATCTACCCTGATTCCACTCTGTGGTTAAATGCCACTGGTGAGTTTGCATGTGATCTCTCCCACAGAAACAGCCTTGGCTTCCATAATAAACAGTATCTTTAAGCCTCAGCTGCAATTTTCTCACATCTGGTGACCAGAAGCCTTACCACAGCGTCTGCCACAATTACATGGGCAGGTATAAAACCTTTTTGTTTGTTAGGATTTGATTTGCTCATCATGTTTATTGAAGGGTCATTGACTAGAGACAATGGCATTGCTTATGTAAAGGTAAAGATTCACAGCGCACAGTAAGTGGAATAAATAAAAAGCAACTGCCTTCCAGAATTCCTGGGAAATGACTCAAAACTTGGCTCTTTTCTCAATAAACCCAAATCCTCTCAGCTATTATAATCTAATGACCATGCAGCTATGCAGCAATCATGGTTATTTGTACTCAAGAGGTAGGAGTAGTCCTGTTTTCTAAACTCTACCCTCCACTTTTGAAGATACAGGGACATTTACCTCTGGGTCATTTTGCTCTGAGGTTCAAGCTGCCGTAATGTTTTAGGGATCCCTATGGACGTTTTTTGCCAATCTACAACACAGCATTCCTTTCCTATTCTTTAAAAAAGTTCCATAGTCTAGATTTTTCTCTTTTGAAGCCTGGAGCATAGAAGAAGAAGAGAAACAGAAAAGCTAATGAATCCAGCTATTTGCTTTATCTGGTCCAATAGGGCTTTAATCAGTTTGGTACTGATTTTAAACCAGCACATCCATCCCATCTCTCTCTGAAGGTAGAGATTCAGGCAGGAGGGCAGAGAGTTGTGGATTGTGAATGTGGTTAAGGATGGCAGTGCCTTCAAAGCATTATGCTCTGGGAGACCACACATTTACTCCAAATCTGCTGCCTTTCATGGAAGCATATTTGAAGCTCCACATTGGAAATGTCTTTCAGAACCACCCAAGAAAATGTACACTATTATTTTATAACCACAATGTGTTTCTGACCCATTAAAGATACTGCTAAGTTTGATTATTTATTCCACTCTCTAGGCTTGGTTCCAAATTATATCTGGCTGGTTTCAAAAATAAACACACCCTCAGAAGATGAAGATTTGCCTTCAATGAGGATAACCAAAAGAAAGTGTCCCAGACTGTGAGGTCAACTTTGTTAGAAGGGGTGATCTGAGTGGTAGCTGTAGAGGAGGAATTAGTACATAGCTTCCAAAAGGAACTGCTTTAAGGAGTGTCTGTCCTGT